GGAACTGAAAACAAATCAGCCAGTATCATAATGCCCCTAGATAAATCAATGGTGCGACCACATTTGGAATACTGTGTGCAGTTCTGGTCACCACACCTCAAAGAGGATATTACAGCATTGGAAAAAGTGCAGGAAAGGGCAACTCAAATGATAAAAGGGTTGGAACACTTTCCCTATGAGGAAAGGTTAAAACGCTTAGGGCTCTTTAGCTTGGAGAAATGACGGCTGAGGGGTGACATGATCAAGGTTGACAAGATTATGCATGGGATAAGCAGGTAGAGAAAGAAGTATTTTTCTCCCTTTCTCACAATACAAGAACTTGTGGGCGCTCCATGAAATTGCTGAGCAGTTGGGTTAGAACGGATAAAAGGAAGTCCTTCTTCACCCAAAGAGTGATGAACACATGGAATTCACTGCCACAGGAGGTGGCGGCGGCTACAAGCATGCACGGCTTCAAGAGAGAATTGGATAAACATATGGCACAGAGGTCCATCAGTGGCTATTAGCCACAAGGTATAGATAGGAACTCTTGGTCTGGGGCAAGGGATGCTCAGTATTCTTGGTGCTTGGGGAGGGGGCAACAGTGGGAGGGCTTCTAGTGTCCTGACCCCACTAGTGGACCTCCTGATGGCACCTGGTATTTCTGGCCACTCAGTGACAGAGTATTGGACTGGATGGGCCATTAGCCTGATCTACCATTTTGTTCTTACATTCTTATGTTCTAAGCCATGTTGGATCAGGCCGACCTCCTGATGGCACCTGGTATTTCTGGCCACTATGTGACAGAGTATTGGACTGGATGGGCCATTAGCCTGATCTACCATTTTGTTCTTACATTCTTATGTTCTAAGCCATGTTGGATCAGGCCAATACCCCATCCAGTCCAACACTCTGTGTCACACAGTGGCCAAAACCCAAGGGCCATCAAGAGGTCCACCAGCGGGGCCAGAACTCCAGAAGCCCTCCCCCTGTTGCCCCCCAAGCCCCAGGAATACAGAGCATCGCTGTGCCAGACATAAGAGAAGCCATGTTGAATCAGGCCAGTGGCCCATCCAGTCCAACACTCTGTGACACACAGTGGCCAAAACCCAAGCGCCATCAGGAGGTCCACCACTGGGGCCAGAACTCCAGAAGCCCTCCCACTGCTGCCCCCCAGACACCAAGAAGACAGGGCATCGCTGCCCCAGACAGAGTGTTCCACCTATACCTTGTGGCTAATAGCCATTCATGGACTACTGCTCCATCAGTGTTTTGGAGCAGAAAATGAGCAGTTGTAGTGAGATGAGCATCCTATATCCGTGCTAAGCCCTGGGACAGGGTGGTTCCCTTTTCCCAAACTGGCGAATGAACTCAAGTTCAGCAATCCCACGTTGCAATCTCCCCTTGAAGTTTCTCTGTCTGAGGACCGCAGGTAAGAGATCGTTTCAGTGGGCGCTCAAGTCCAGACATATCGAAAAGCCCTGGAGGCGACGGCTGTTCTTGCACACAGAAGAACCGTGCTTCCCCAACAAGCCTCTCGTGGGTCCGGCCGCCACCCAGGCTCCGAGAGAGCTCCCCACCTTTACAGCTCAGCCTTGTGCAAGAAGAACAAAGCCACGGTGAAGCCTCCTCTCGCAACAGGTGCCGGCGAACAAGCCACCCCATCAGCGTGGAGTGCACATGAAGGGAAAAGGAACCACCCTGTGGGAGCAGCGTGCTTGAGGCCCGCCTATGTGTCTGCTGAGAGACAAGTCCCCCGGGGAACAGGTAGGCGGGCCCAGGACTTCCTTCGCACTCCCACAAATGCCAGAGAGGAGGCCGCCTCCCTGAGCCGCCGAGGAAGCAGACAGCTTTCAACGCCACCTGATTGCACACGGAGGGGCCAGTGGTAGAGCATCCGCTTGGCATACAGAAGGTCCCAGGTTCAATCCCCGGCATCTCTAGTTAAAATTATCAGGTAGGAGGTGATGTGAAAGACCTCTTCCTGAGACTCTGGCATGCAGAAGGGTCCCAAGTTCAATCCCCGGCATCTCCCGTTAAAATGATCAGGAAGGAGGTGATGTGAAAGACCTCTGCCTGAGACTGTGGCATGCAGGAGGTCGCAGGTTCAATCCCCGGCATCTCCAGTTGAAAGGACCAGGCAGTAGGTGATGGGAAAGACCTCCGCCTGAGACCCTGGAGAGCGGCTGCCAGTCTGAGTAGACAATGCTAACCTTGATGGACTGAATCATAAGAGTTGGAAGGGGCCATACAGGCCATCTAGTCGAACCCCCTGCTCAATGCAGAATCGGCCTAGCCTAAAGTATCCCTGACAAGACGGAAAAAGAAGAGAAGAAGAGATTGGATTTATACCCCTCCCTTCACTCGGAGCGGCTTACAATCTCCTTTCCCTTCCCCTCCCTACAACAGATACCCTGTGAAGCAGGTGGGGCTGAGAGAGCTCTTTCGTGGACTGCTCCTGAGAGAACAGCCCTGCAAGAACGTGTGACTGACCCAAGGTCACACCAGCAGCTGCATGTGGAGGCGTGGGGAATTCAAGCCCGGTTCTTGCAGATTAGAGTCCGCGCTCTTAACCACTACACCAAGCCGAATCATAGAATCACAGAGCTGGAAGCTTCATGCGTGTTCACTACAGAGGGTCAAGCGGGGGTCCGAGGAGGCTGTCCCTCCCGCCCCCACCCCCCAGCTGATCTTTTGCTCCCCAGCTCCCCTTCCAATCCTGCCTTACCGTACGCCCATCTCTGCTCTCCCTATAGCAGACATGCTTCAAAACAGGGGTCAGAGTAGGAAGACAACAAGGTGGATTATCCGGACCTCTTAACCCAGTTTCTGCAGAACAGGCGAAATTACAGCCAAAAGGGTTGCCGGCTCTCTATTGCGAGTGCATCGATGACACACATAGTATTAATCCTATCTTTCCCCAGAATCTGGAATGGAGCATATACTACTATCAACCACACCCTCCCATAGTTACTAGCCAAGAAAAAGGTGTGGGGGGGGGGGAG